GATAATTATAAAGTTGAAGGCATTGATTTAAACACTTTTGATCCCAATACACATTCAGTGCTCACAATAGGAGTGCACTATAAGTGACATAGACACTTTAAATATAACAGGACTTAAAGTGTGAAAAAAATCTATTCCTCTTTTATATTTAGACACAGAAAACATGCCTTTTCATTACAAATCACACATTGAAAGACATCAGTATTTTTAGTTACCTTTTGTTTCTTTTATACAAATTCTATCCGGCTGTTACCGTAATTGTAATTAGAGATAGACTGATACATGGCTGGCTGATAGTTTTGTCCATTATTAGTGTTTTTCGTTTTTTTGTCTTGCATTGGTATCGGCCCATACTTGCATGGGTTTACTGATTCATTAGTGTGTTCAGCACCAATGCCTTGAGATTATGTAATGCACTTAATGCACACACTTAATTTGATTTCTTTTGTAACAGATTTCTTTGATTTGTTAATGTTGTTTATTTTTGCTTAAAATGGACTTCCATAACATTTGTTGTTGTATATTTTTTTGTAATGTGAGAGAAAGCAATACGGCAGGACATATCAGGGATCTGCTAGATTGATATAAAAAAATTGTTAATGGCAACAGCCATAAAAAAAAAAACCTGTATCAGTCAATTTCTAATTATGATCCCTGGTTTGTAAAATTTTTTTTTCGCCCTGGGAAAATATTGACTTTGATTTTTTTTTTTTTTTTTTGGGGGGGGGGGGGGGGGGGGGGGGGGGGGGTACCTCGCCCAAAAGTTTTAATTTGGTTATGTGTAATAAAGACTGCTTTTAATTTTAGTGAATTTTGAATTGATGTTCAGGTTTATATTTATTTCACTCTAGTCAAAACATGGATGGGTATTTCCCTTAGCTTAGTGTTATTATTATATCATTATTAGATCATAGATGTAATACATAAAATTGTATAACCACGTTCTTAAGTTTTTGCATGAAGAATCACACAAGTATTTATATATTTTACATTATGTCAGGTAAGTGTGGTATTATATTGCGAAAGTACTGTGCAGAAGCAGACGATACGACTTTTTGCCTCATTAGATCAGTATTATGTTTCCCATACTGTTGACAGGAGCACCCAGATATGAAAGCAGGTGTGTACCAATTTTCTAATTAAAATGAATTAATAGACCAGCTTCTTCATTTTCAAACAAATTTTCTCGACTTATCAATAAATTAAAATAAATCAACCAAACTGCTTTTTTATTTTATTTTTCTAGACTGCTCTTTTTCTAAATAATGTGAATTTTTTAATAAAAAAACAACATATTCTTAATTTATAAAAATGTCCCAGCAAAAAATGGCCAAAATTCATTTTGAAATGTCAGTTTTGAAAATTAAAATAAATTAACAAAAAATGCTTGTCATCTTCCAGTCAGAGCTGCATTTTTTGACTTACACAAACATTTAGCTATAGATAACCAAATATGCATTTTTATTTTCTTCTCAAAGAATGCTCATTTTGTTACTTAGCCCAAATGGTTAATAAAATATTATTGAACATTTATTTTGCAAAAGATGCCCCAGCAAAAACTGACCAAAATGAATGTTTAAATGTCAAAAAATAAAATGGATGAAGAGAAATGCTTTTTCATTTTAAAGTCAAAGTTAGATTTGTGACTCATAAATCAAATTGCTCATAGACCATCCAAACTTTCTTTTCATTTTCTTCAAGGCTGCTAATTATGAACCAAAACTAAAGAGAAAACTACAAGCAAATAGCTTTTTTGTTTTAATGCCAGTCTTTGCAAAAAGTGTTTCATAAATCAGTTTGAATTCGCAGTTCCAAGTGCAGGAGAGTGACTTCATTGGCAACACTGTTGCTCTTCCACCATTATGCATCTTGTACATTCTAGTAAGTGTTTAGCAGCATTCACCTTAATGTGCAGATCTACAGTCACATTAAGTTTAATTGATGAGATCCACTATGTGCAACTCTTGGAAAGCCCTTTTCCCCTAAATACTAATTCATATTGCCATTCAGTTTATCGTACTATGTGCAGTGTCATCACCAGGATAATCCATCTTTACAAATTGTAATATGAGATTGTGTAATTAAATTACTGTTGATTTTAAATTACTTGGTTTAACATTTAAACGTGCTTTTGTTTTTTCCTAGTAAACACCTCTGAAGTGATTCCCCATACTTTGTTTCAACAGCTGATCAACCCGTTAATAAATGACCTGTTTGCTACATAAACTATTTGGACGTATATATATACATAATGTTATGTTGCCGCTCATATTTTGCCCCAAACTGGTTATAATTCTGTTGATATTACCATCAGATACAGTAGATACTGCGATGCAGATTAGTTTTCCACTCGCCTACAGATATATTTTCCACAACTGGAGCACTGTGATAGTTTTTAACTCTTGGGGGGCTGGGGTTCTACAAGGTCAAAGGCCTTAGGCATCATTGCCTGTTCACAGGATCTCTATACTCCAACGCTACTGTGCAACAAATAAGTTGGAGTGGGTGCAGCTGTGAACTACAAAAGGTGACTCCAAAAAGAAATTTGTTTACAATGCAAGTTTTGACTCTTTACAGTAATAGTCAGAAAATCCCCAAGCAGAAACTGCCACTCTAGACGTTGTATTAATAAAATTCACCTAGCTGTGTTGTAAAAAATACTTCATTAGTGTCAATCCATATTTTTGTCATTATTGTGTGTCATTAATAGTAGAATCCTCCCAGTGCAGCTTTTACTTCTCAGACCAAAGGACCAATGGTGGAATGCGTCTATTGCACAGAAATGTTTGGCTTCTCTGAGATCGAAAAGCCAGACTGGCTGCTGTGAAAAATACATGTACAGTATATGTTTTGAATTAATGACATCTTACATATTATAATCCTAAAATATCAGTTGATACAGTTTTTTTTTTGCCCTATACAATATCGTTGGTTATTTTTGTCCTTTTTTGATGGATCAAAATTTTCTTGCTCACATTCAAAGAAAAAAAAAAAGAACATTCAGAGTCGTATGACAAAGAAACTTCATCAGGAAGTTTAGAAACAAGCCAGGTAGGAACTATTAATAGCTCTTCAAGTTGCCAAACTTTGCATAAAGAAAATAAAAATGGTAGCCCTGAAGGTGCCAGAATTCATTCAAAATTATAAGATTTTGAATGTGCTAAAAAAAAATATATATCTTTACAATGTATATCTGGCAAAGTTGATAATCATTTCTGTTGACTTAATATCTATTAAACTACAGTGGTGGAAGACCTACCTTTTGTAAAGATTTTTTATTTAACTGCAGAAGGCTGACATTTGGGTAAACTTTTAAAAGTTATGACGTATAGTATCATAACTTTACAATAAGTCTGACTGTATTTCTATGGTCTTCTCAGGAATTACACCAACTTATGAAGTTTTGCACATGTTGGGGTGTTACTACCTGCACCTATTTGTAGAAGTTTTCCTTGAAATCACTGCCTGTAGCCTAAACCTGCATGAAAATCCTGGTGCTGCCTCTGAAGTGCCAGAAATACCAGGAATTCAAAATCAACCTTGAAGCATCTGTGGGGAGTACAGATTTTGGATTAGGAATTATATAATTGAATGTGCTTAGGTTTAACATATCAAAATTGTACTGCTTTTGAAATGAATTCAAGACACATGACTTTTTAAGTTAGTATAAAGTTCTTTTATTTTTCATTCAAGAAATGTACTTTTAGTTCTGGAGCAATGAGCCACATTAAGGCATTGGCTTATTAAGTTAAATTTAATTATTTTTTGTTTAATTTTTTTTAGGAAGGGCTTGTGTGAGGTTATAAAATTATTTAAGTAAGGTGAAATTTAAAAAAGCATTTCAATCCAATGTTCTATTGTTCAATATATGAAATAAAGACAGTTAAACATGTACTGTTGTGCTTCCTTTATTGACATTGCTATCTGTGACTGCATAGCATGAAGCAAAGTTCGCTAAAATCGTATTAAGTCCATCATGTAAGTCTGACTATGAAATACATTTAACTCTACAGAGGGAGATAATTCTAACAAGGACTGTGCGATGGTATGAAGGAGCCAGGCATAAAAAGAAAAAAAAAACTATTTGCTTGTAGTTTTCTCATTATTTGTTTTAGTTCACATTTATAGGCTTGAACAACAAAGTAAAAAAAAATTTTGAATGATCTATTAGCCATTTACGAGTCACAAAGAGTAGCCTTGATTTTAAAATTAAGAGGCATTTCTATTAATTTATTGTTGACTTAGACTTAAGACTTAGACAAGTATTGTTGTCATTTTGTATACACAGAGTGTATACAAAAGGAAATTTTGTTTTGTACGGCTTTTCAGACAGTAAATAAACATTTACTGACAATAAATTTAAATTTTTTTCTGGCAAAACATTTGAAAATCTAATATCAAAGTTTGTTTTCTTTAACCGTTGGATTAATAAACAAAATGTTCGACCCTGAAAAAGAAACAGAAAATAGTGTTTGGTTTATCTATTGCTAATTTTATGTATGAGTCAAAATACAGTAAGCAGCTTTGACTTAAAAATAAGAGAGTATTGCTGTTAATGTGTTTGACATTTCCAAAATGACTTTTGGTCAGTTTTTGCTTGGGACATATTTTGCAAGTTGAATGCTCAATGTTATTTTGTTAATCATTTGGATTTAGTAACAAAGTGAGCAGTCTTGAAGAAGAAAATGCAGTTTGAGTTATCTGTTGCTAATTTTATGTATGAGTCAAAAAAATGCAGCAATAACTTGAAAATGAAGAATAATTTTTGTTAATTTATTTTAATTTTCAAAACTGACATTTCAAAATTAATTTTAGACAGTTTTTTGTGGGACATTTTTACAAATTAAAAGTCTTGTTTTATTTATACCATGAAATAAGCATTTCTGTTAATCAATTTATCTAGAAAATTAGACACATTTCCTTCCATATACAGCGGAGAAGACAGTGAGAAAGACTAGCTGTGAGAAAAGCTTAACCTTCATTTTATTTTATTTCTTCAGATGCTGGGAGGGCAGTTCACGCCCCATCACACATTACAGAAAAAGTGGTGCAACTGTTCCGGAGTAAAAGTGAATTCACCTTCTTGGCCACCATCCAACAGAAGTCCTCCACATCAGGAGTCATATTCTCAATCCATGAGTCAGAACACAGGTAATCTTTATATAACCTCTACTTTTTGTCATACAGCTGTTTCATTAAAATATTTTCTTTTAAGAATCATAGGCCACTCTGACTGCAATTTAAATTTAAGTCGATCAAAATTAGAATGCATTTTATTAGCCAAATTAACATGTAAAAATTTTCCATTCCGCTCATTGTAATTAACAGTGCAAAAGTAAGATAAAAGATTGATCTCTAATTTTGGTTGATACTGGCTGAAGATGGCTGCTGGTAAAATAAAGCAGAATGTTTAATTATCTGAATGTGGACTGAAATTAGACTAATGCTGGTTGACTGGAAGCATCCTGTCTTTGCTGTATAATCAGAGCTAAAAATGCCTGGTTTAGATTTTAGTCAGAAAAAGGGGTGAACTGAGAAGTAATGTTACCCATTTCATAATTTATAAATAGAGAGCAGTGACGTGTGAAAGCCAGAATAAACATGCTGCTTTATAATGAGCTACTGTGCCTTAAATAATCAGTTAGGAAAATACATTTTCATTACATTTATTTCCATAGAATCTTTTTTTTAATAAAAAAACTTGTTCAATAAATCAGGGTCTTGAAGTACTGTAGACAGCTGAATAATTGTTACCGCAGAACCATATTCTGTTGGCATGAGCAGCAAGCTTATTCAAGCCCTCTGAGAAACTCCACAGCTATGAATTGTTTCAAAGGGCAGGCAACATTGATTTTACCATAGCCTTCTAAAAGTAAAAGCCTGCAGTTCTGTAAAGCATGTAACTTGGTGATTTTGTGAATAAGTACAAATCCTCTGTTTGCAGAGCATGGAAGCAAAATCAAAGTCATACTCAATAGATGACCCTATTATATTGGACAAAGGGAGATGGTCTTCTAGCACAAAGAGCCTTAAAAGAAGAAACAGATGTGCTGTACCATTTTCGGGCTCAAGCAGAGGTTAACTGGTGTTATCTAAGTTGAAGATAGGAGTACATAATGTTTCTGAAATTTTAGCTCTTGGCTCAAAAATATGGTTGCATGCCTTATATAAACTAAAAGGACATATTCAGCAAAGGGCTCCTTAAGTGTAAATTGCTAAATGCCTTGATTTTAAAGGGCACTTACAGTATTTGTGCAATATAGCAATGAGACTGCTATCCATCCACTTTTGTTACTCCCTTTGTGCGTTGTAGGGTCTTATAAGTTCAAGAACAAATTGCTTCTCTTATCACTACTAAAATGTTTTTTAATTATATGGTAAAATGTGGATTACACTGTGCTTCAGGAAGTATTTAAAGCTTTGTACTTTTTCCACATTTAGTTATGTGACACCCCTGTTCCAAATCGCATCAATGGTATTTTTTCCTCAAAATTCTACACACAAAACCCCATGATAATGTACAAAAAATTTTTTTTTTTTTAGAGTGGTGAAAATATATTACAAACAGAAAACAAAAAAGAGTCACATGTGCATACATATTTACAGCCAGTGCATATTTACAGGCAATTTTTTTCATGAAGATCAAAATTCAGCAGTTTCATATTATTTCTACTTATCCGAGATGTTTCTATAGCTTAAATGTGGTACACCTATGGTAAATTCAGTTGATTGGACATGATTAAGAAAGGCACACACGTGTCTATATTAGGGATGGAACGGTTTATGAAAACCGTTAGGTTCGACTGTCTCTGTTCGGCTGCGTGTGTTGCGTTCGGTTCATGCGCTGCTCCTTTTTCTTATAGGCGAAGCGTGTACACTCCAGAGCAGAAGCTGGCGGTACTGCAACCAAAGCCAACCACCAGTAGTAAACAAGAAGAAGAAGCGAAGCAGCATAGTGTGTAGCAGAAAAAAAATCAGTTGGTGTTGAGAATTGTGTGGGTATGGCGAGTGGGAAAGAACAGGAGTTGGAAGACGCGCCAGCAGCACTTTATAGGTCTGCTGTATGGGACCACTTTGCATTTAGAGTGACCTACGATGACGGCGGAAAGAAAGTTGTGGATAAAAGTGCAACAGTGTGCAAGCATTGTGACACACTTTTTGTTTATGCTAACAGCAACATGACCAACATGTCATGCTAACCCCGAAATCCCACATACTCCGTCAGCGCTCCGCTCCGCCCTGCTGCGCTCCAGACAGCCTGCACAAAGCAAAGCCTACAGCCTCCGCTGTGGCTCCCGTCCGCTCCACTCTGAGTTCCTTGGAGATCGTAGAGGGCATGCGCGAGATTATTCAATTCAAAGCAGCAGAACATGCGGAAATGATCCAGGGTTTCCGCCGATCATTAAAAATAATTACAATTCAATAATTTTTTGGATTTTTTCATTAATTTCATAATTTTTTATAATTTTTATTAATTTTTTTATTTTTCGGTGTAACAATAAACATATACCGAACCGAAAACCGTGACCACAAAACCGTGAACCGAACCGAACCATGGATTTTGTGAACCTTTCCACCCCTAGTCTATATTAGGACCCACTTTTGACATTGCATATTACAGCTCAAACACTGAGCATCGAGTTAATTTTCTGTAGGTAGTTGGAAGCCATTAGGACTCTTCCTAGAGCTGGCCAACCATCTAAACTAGATGATCAGGGGAGAAGGATCTTAGTTAGGACTCTGTCTCACCTTGCCAATTTAGTCAGTGTATGCCTGACATCCCAGGATCTTATAAAATGCTTGCATAAGCTGAATTTTCTATGTATTTTCTCAGTTTTGGGCATATACAAAGCGTATTCATAACGAGTCCAGAGCGTATATGTAACGATATGCATAAGGCACAGCAGCGTAATACCCATGAGATGTCACAAGCCAGTGTCCTGAGGGGGCAGTAATCCTCCTTTAGGTGCACTGCTTGCATAGCATCTTTAACTGGAGTATTAACCTAGCTGCTGAATACTGCCTGCAAAAAAAATAAAAAACAAATAAATAAATAAAAGAAAAAGAAAGAAAGAAGGTTTGCAGTCACAGCAGATTCAGGGTCATGTTTGCTAGGAAGTTTATTGGTCGTGGGCGTGAATGCAGGGAGGATCCATCACACTTAACTTCTCACTCACCCTATGATGGCGTTAGAGATAAGTTCTTTATAACTTACGCATAAGTTATGCACAAGTTACTCATCGGTTTTGGATAAGCTAGACACCACGACTAATGAGTAACTTACACTTAACGTATGTCAACGATCAAATAACTTACCTGTAATGTATTCCCCACATATGAGCATACGCTGGCATAATTTTAAGCATGGTCAAAATTTCTCGAGGTACTTGAGACATACACGCCCTGTATGTCGAAGTGTGCCAGCGTGCTCATAACTTATACAAAACGTATCCATAACTTATCCAACGTATGACAACATTTTTGCCAGATTTTATGACGTCAGGCATATGCTGTCTAAATCGTTAAGGTGTGACAGGGCCTTTAGACAGATGCCCGAGAACACTGTGGTTACTCTGTCAGAGCACAACCATGGAAAATCCTCTAGAAAAACAACCACTTCTGCGGCAATGCATCAATTAGGCCTCTATGGCGGAGTGGTCAGGTGAGAGCCACTGATTAAAAAAAGGTACATGGTAGCCTATTTGACTATGAAAAGCTAAATTATCTGGTCTTATAAGACAAGGAGTTAACTGTTTTGTATGTGTGTGGGTGGGTGTGTATTTCTTACATGGTGGTGACAACTTTCCATAAATCTTAGCACATTGTGGGGATCGAGTGTTCTGGTGGGGACCAATGTTGTTTTAGGCTTAGGTGTTAGGTTTAGGACTAAGTTGTGAATTGAGTTTAGAATGGGGATAGCTTTAGGTATGAACCCATAATGGTTAGGTTAAGGGTAATGGCTAGGCTGTAGAAATTGGTTTGAAATGAATGGAAGTCAATTTTAAGTCTCCACAAGGATAGCCTTTTCATGAACCAAAATGCACTAAAGTATCCTCTCTGGGTAAAAAATTTGTGCTCTGTGCCATTTAGGGAGCTAAAACTCACACCAAAGTGCCATTTTATTTGTCACCACACCTTCCCTTAAGAAGGTCTATGCAAACCAGTGCCAATGACAGTAATTTCAGCAACAAAGGATTCCAGTATTAATGGTTCTTTAATGAGAGAAGATACTCCTCACCCTTAAGCCCTGAACACACTGATCTCGAGTTTGTGTCATAACAGGTGTTTTCTATTTACTTGTGGATGTATTTCCCATCCACAGAAACCAAAATGTTGCCCTTTTGCTCGTTTTTCAACAAAATAAAGAAAGAAATAGAGGGTTTTTTCGGCTAAAACCAGTGCAGCCAGTTTGATTTGCTTCAGCTTTCTACCTCTGGTTGACACAGTAACGTCATACACGTAACTGCATCTTATTAGTATGAAACATTCCTGTATTGATGCAAACGCATCCGATGGCTTCTGGCAAATTGTTTTTTCCGGGGTTTGTGAATTTAAACATCTATGTAGTAATCCTGCAGCAATTTCATGTGTCTAACAGGAAAAAAAAATCTGCTTTGGGGGAAATAAAAAGTATTATGTCACAGGCGACACAGCCAGGTTGTTATCCACAGTAGTGACTTACGCTGGAGCGCATCTAAAAAGACGTGACACTTCAAAAACTCATGTTCATAGACATTTTCCATTGAATCAAATTGAGGGCCACTTTGCTAAGAAAAATACAATTTTTGTGTTCAGATGCACAAAGCTGTTATTCATATGCCTCCAGTACTTCCAATTACCTGCAGTTAAAGGCATCTAAATCCAAAGCATACAACCAATTTCTAAAGGGATGGGCTTCGAAACCAGTATGTTAATATCCTCGAGTTGCCAAGCAAGGGTCCAGATGGACTGAATATCTCTGGAGAGGATTACTGAAAATTGTTGTGCACAGACCCATCCAATCCAATGGAGCTTAAGATATACTGAAAAAAATTACTGTTAATTATTTTACCCTGCATTTATGCACTATAAACTGACATATTGCCATTAAAAAAATCCCGAATCAAAATATATGAAAGGAAGTTTTTGTAATGTTAGAAAATGTGGTCTAA